TGGGCAGGGAGACAAACATACCCAGTTATGGGTAGCAGAGGTTGAAGAGCCTGTTTCATATTTGACCCTGGCAAGGAGGAGCAACCTCCTCCCTGTATCCTTATAATTAGCTGGGATGCTGTGGAGAGGGAGGGATGGGAAGGTCACACTCCCAGGGTCCTTGTCTGCCAGTGCCTCCTGCCATGCCCCAAATGGGACTGTCTGGGCCCATCCTTTTGCCTGCTGGGCTTGACAGATACAGATTCTGGTCCTTTGATAGGGTTGTATTAATCTTTCATCAGTGATGACTCAGCCAAGGAACAGCATTGGTACCCTAAGATAGCTCAGAGGGCAGGAGGGACAGCCTCAGCCCTGCTAATGTGTGAGGAGATTATTCTCTGCCTGCAACTAATGAGCATTTCTGCATGGCAGTGGCCACTGCTTCCTCCTCCTGTCTCCCCAGGAGGTGCTGGGCAACCTCAGAACCCCTTTGATGAAGGCAGGAGGGTGACAGAGAGCTTGTGGATGTCACTGCCCCTGCTGCCACATCCTCAGGCAGTGAGCAGCTGGTGGCCATCTGAGGGGATGGGACACCCTGCCCTGCTCAGGGGTGATGAGGAGGTACCACCAGGCAGAGGGGTGAAGGCATTTCAGAAACCCTGGCAGCTGTGCCAAGCACTGGGAGATGCAGTCAGAACAGCAGCCTCCTAATGCATCCATGTAATGAGGCTCAGCCACGTGCATTTGCATAGCTAACTGCTGGACTAATCAGCCCAATTAACTTCTTATGTGTCCAACAACAGGCTTAGTGGGAAAAAAATCTACATTGTACGGAAGAGTGGCCATTTCCAGAAAAACAGTGAAAACTGTGTCTTAAGTTGTTAACTGTGAAAGAATTGAATCTGCATGGGGAGGGCATGCAGTGCCATTAAGTTTAGGGATTGCCAGTGTAGGTACTGAGGGGTCAGGGAGACAGTGAATAGCCCATGTTTTAAAAAGGGGTCTGTCTTGCAGAAATTTCCAGCATATAAGGTGAGGGAGTAAAAAAAAAAAAAAGAAACCAACCAAAAACAACCAACTAAACAACAAAAATCCCACAACCAAAAAAACCCCCAAATCAACACACCAATTCCAAATAGGGTTTTGTTTCATTTGAATTCCTCTTGGAAAGAAAAACAGCAGAAGTGTGGAGGAAAACAAGCCTTCATTACTGCTCACAACAGGTAGAAAAGTAGACGAAGCCAATTGGAAAATTCAAACTGATCCACTTATATAAAATCTTGAAAACAATTCTGTTCTGATGGTTGGGGGAAAATGTATGAACAATAACCTCGCTATAAACACTTAGAAAATATTGTGACTTAAACTATGGGGACTAAAGAGATGGAATTGCAGTGTAAGCTAGGACTGTGTCAGAGTATAATCCAGCAAGAAATCAACACAGACTGTTAGATTTGAATGCAAATTATTGCTTCTTGTTAGCGAGGAGCTATTCACCTTTTTTATTTTATTTTAAATGAGCTGCTGCCTGGATTGTGGCACCTGGGAAAAGGCAAGGTTGTCCAGTTTCCTACCAGCACAATTCCTTGTTGCTGATCTTTTACGTCATGGCTCCTATGAAGTCCTGTGAATGTAAGGGTGAAAATGCAGAAAGGAGTCTGAGTGGTGGCTTGGAGATCTCTTCAGGAAAACTTGGCCTTGGATCTGTTCCTGAACCTAAGATCAAAATTATCCCAGGTGTAAGGAGACATTGCCTGCAGTGCTGTCGGTGAATGTGACCTTGTATAACAAATCCGTGCTGTAAAATCGAGGATCAAATGAGGCATAATCACTTCCCTGTCAGATGAACACTCTGGTGCTCCCTTTCCTCAGCAGACTCAGCAGAGATCCCAGTGCCACGAGAGTGAGAGAACCCTGAGCTTTACCGGGCACGGCAGCGCTGAGGACAGCGCTGGGCTCCGTGTGGGTGGGAGGCGAGGATGGGAGAAGCAGCAATGTGGCATTTTCGTGTCACCCGGTGCTGGGGTGAGTGAGCGCTCGCCTCAGTCCCAGGCGGATCCCGAACAGCCCCCGCGCTGCCCTAAATCCCTTCCAGCCTCAGGGTCCCTCGGTGCTGCTCCGTGCCGGCAGCGAGCTGGGCTGGGAAGGCAGCTGGGAAGGCTGTGACAGCTCCGGTGTGCCGGAGAGATGCCAGCCGTGGCAGGGAAGCTGCGGGGAACGCGTGCTCCTGTGTCACCCTGCAACGTGACCCGCAGGGCACGGAGCGCCGGGACACCGGGGACACCGGGGACACCGGGGACACCGGGGGGCTGCGGGAGCCTGGGGACACCTTTCACCCTTCGGAGGGAGGGGGCAGCTCCCCGGAGAGTGTCGGTGCTCCCTGCGCCCCATCGCCGGGACCCTGCTCCCCTGGCAGGGCGCTGCATCCTCCGGAGCCCCTGACTCTGCTCGGCTTCAGAGCCGGAGCCTCCGCAAGTTGGGAGAGGGCAGGAGAGCCTGCCAGAAACTCCCCGTGTGCTCGGCAGCGGCTCCGGGGGAGCGAGCGGGGCTGCATAGGGGAGAGGGATGGGGCAGCGGCTCCATGGGGG